TTAGTGTTAATTTTGTACTCTAATTTGAATACTGGCAAAGAGATGTCGCCAACACCATAACAAATCGGAACAAATTTTTTAAAGGAAGCCAGAAAACAAAGCTGTGATATTTCAACTTTCTGTGATAGAACGCGCCTTTACATGGAGTTGTAAAGATAATTTGAAGAGTACACACTTGACTGTCAAGCAAATTTTGTTCTAAAGAATAATATAACGCATATGATTTAGGGTACAGATAACTATAATTGAATCCGTCTTACTGCATTCCGACATTCGTTATCTATGAAAAATACTTACTGAGGTTACATGCAACTATTTTCTGTATTAAAATTGAAATACACGAGTAAACTATCATGCTATTGTAAATACGTTTTAGATAGAACTTATTATTTGACTACCACGTTGTTCGAGTAACCGGTTACAAAAAATAAGACCGGTTTGACAACCCTACTATTATGACATTGCGATCATTTTCTGATGTATCACTTGCGACTACTGGGTTAGTGTCGGCACCTTATGGTGTAACGGTTCTTGTTACGATAATATATTGTTATGCTTTATAATAAAAAAAAAAGGAAACGTATGTACCCTTCCAGAGCAATGATTTCAAATCTGCTTTAGTACATAAATTCATATTGTGTACAAATTCGTGTCCTGTGTTCCTTTGGCCATAGAAAGGTGTCCTTTGTTAGATATGACTAGCAAGTTATTTTATATACGGTATATCTCGCGCAAATTGTGTTTTGAAAACGTCTCTATGTTTAGGATATTTAGTGGAATGTGAATAACAGATTAACAGATAAATACAGGTACTGCCATCAAAAGAAGTGGTAGCATATGTGTTAATTCTCTAATAATAATAATAAATAATATACAACATTTATATAGCACCCTATATAATTTGTATAATAACTCTAAAGCGCTTTTCATCATATGGATAATAGCATTTTATTAGCTCACCTGGCCCGAAGGGCCAGATGGGTGGGGCCCATTAAGGGAAATAGAGGAAAACATCAAAGATCCTTCTCCTTTTGTACCAATGAAGGGATTTTGATCAAATTTGGTCAGGAGCATCATTGGCCAAAGGGTTCTCAGTTTTGTATAAACGGAGGGTATGGTTCCCCTTGGAGCAGAGGGGCGGGGCCAAATAGGGGGAAAATAGGTAAATCTTTAAAAAGATCTTCTTCTCAACCCATAGAAGGATTTTGACCAAATTTGTCCTAGAGCATCTTTGGACAAAAGAGACTCAAGTTTGTATAAACGGAGGGTGTGGCCCCCTGGGGGCAGAGGGGCGGGGCCCAATAGGGGAAATAGAGGATTATTATTTAAACCAAATGCAGTCTGAATCATTATTAGGGACAAAATAATCAATTTTGTATCAACTGAGGTGTGTGGGCCCCCTTCTAGGGGCAGATGGGTGGGGCCCATTTAGGGAAAGAGAGGAAAACATTAAAGATCCTTCTCTTTCTGTACCGTTGAAGGGATTTTAACCAAACTTGTTCTAGCGAATCTATGGGCAAAGGGAATTGAATATTTATAAATGGAAGATGTGCACATAAATGAATAATTAAAGGGTGGTATTTACATGACGTCTTTGCAAAGGGCCTACAATGCAGACATGAAGAGGTGAGTTTTTATGTCTTTCATAAATTTGGCAAGGGTATTTGACTTTCTAATAGAAGATGGTAAGCTATTCCACGACGTGGCCGAAACCCTCCCAAAGCACCGGTTTCCATAGGTCACAGTACGAGATTTTGGGACACACAACAATGGTTCTGACTTCGACCGCAGTGATCGTAACGTCACGGCTGATACAGGGTAACAAGCTGCTGTAGGTACTGGGTAGCTGTTCCATTCAGTGCCTTGTATATGTACACTAAAATTGTGTACTGCGATCTGTATCGTACAGGTAACCAGTGCAATGAATATAACACAGCTGTGATGTGCTCTCTCTTTCGAGTACGAGTACCCAGCCGTGCTGCAGTGTTCTGGACCCTCTACAGACGACTAGTTAGTTTGTCAGATATACCACAGAGCAGGGCGTTACCATAATCCAACCGAGAGGTAACACATGAATGCACCAAAATATTGAATGCATCTGGAGATATAAACTGCCGCATACAGCCGATGTTCCTGATCTGGTAGTAACAGGATTTGGCAATAGCGTTCACTTGTTTCATGTTCAGTGAACTATCAAAGTATATCCCTAGGTTTTTAACAGCTGGGACAGTCTCATTAGTTCTGGCACCAACCTTGAGCTGGAGAGTCATTGTTTGCTGACACTTTGTGGAAAAGACGATTAATTCCGTCTTTTCCTGATTAAGCTTAAGCATGTTGGCGTTCATCCAGTTACTGATATCTGTCAGACAATCTTTCAGATTTTCTGTAATTGTATCCCAACTGTCCTGTGGTTTGCTGACCATGTGAATTTGTGTGTCATCACCATAGCAATGATATTGAAGGCTATGGCGACGACAAATCTCTCCGATCGGATTGGATTACAGGCAACATTTTTGGGTCCTAACACCGACCCTTGAAGTACCCCGCAATCTAGTACTTTGTCATGTGAGGTGGCAGATCCGATGGCAACATACTGTCGTCGTTTACTCAGATAATACTGTATACAGCATAGTGCGGTATCAGTCACTACAAAAGAGTACTCCAGACGTTAATAAAGTATGCCATGGTCGATGACGTCAAATGCAACTGACAAATCCAGCATAACAAGCACCGCTCTGCACTTGTTATCCAATGCAAAAGCTATGTCATTATGTACACGAAGGAGGACCGTCTCAGTAGTGTCCCATGCTGTAGGCAGGTTGGCATGGAGACTGTTTACATGGAGAACCTTTAAACGCCGGGACACAACCTTCTCCAAGATCTTCGACAGAAAAGGCAGATTTGATACTGGGCGATAGTTCTTCAACTCCTCCTTGTCCAATTCAGGCTTCTTCAACAATGGTCTAACATGTGCCTCCTTGAAACACAATGGAACCTTTGACTTCTTAGCCAATGCTTTGTTCATGATTGAGGTAGTCAAAGGAAGCAGTGATTCAAGACATTGATGTAATAGGTCTGTAGGCAGTGGATCAAGCTCACAGGACTTCGATTGCGAGGTCATGATGATATTGCGCAACTCGTCCTGGGTTGTTGTTGAGAGCTTTGTCAATGGTTCCACATCAAATTAATTTTCAGCAGTCAAGATAGAGATATTATTGTCAGCAGTAAAGTTCACTTATATTTTGCCTGATCGAGCTGGTTTTATTCACAAAGTAATCACTGAACTTGTTTGACAAGTCTTTTTCAGAATTACAGCTTGGTAGGATAATTTAACCTTTCTGACCCATTATGAAGTTTTTGGTGAGTCTAAACAGCTGTCTATGGTCCTTACTACATTCTTCAATTATTTCGAAATAATAAGCAATTTTTGACTAAACGAGAAGTGAACCAACTAGTCGACATTGTTCCCTATTCATCTGTTGGTTAACGGTTTATTGGGTCTTCGCCACTGTCTCTCTGCTTTTCTACGGTCCTGTTTTTATACGCGGATATTTTCATTATACCACGAAGTCATATGTGTAAAAAATATTGAAACCACTTTTTCTGAATAACCAATATTCCAGGGTAACGATGTTTGGCAAGAAGCATGCTTGAATGAAGGGCTTTAAAGTGTGTGCAAATGAATGACATTGACCTACTCGAAATAAAATTGCAAGAGTGAAAGTAAAAAACCGTTTTCATCTTTGTGCGAATTTGTTTTCTGAGAACTCTCAGTACTTTGATTTATATTAAAACACAAAAAAACATACTACATTAAAAAGTCTTTTTCTATATTACTACGAAGCAAAGAGGAATATGTTTTATTGCAGAATCATAGTGGAAAGATGGGTTGTAAGGCAAAGGAGTCGAAAGTGTTGTCCTTAATATGAGGGCTTTTCACCATCAGATTCGTGAGATTTTGGCGTCCAAATCTTTTGATTGGTAGCAGACATGTTCAAAGTCTTTCATGTATTCTGTACAGTCTGTAAGCCATGATTTACAGATGTTATTGCAACATATTCAAGTACGACAAAAATCAAATATGACTTCCATGACATCATATGTCAAAATCTTAAAACCGCCATAACTGAAACCGTTTATTATACAGCATTTATGCTTGATATCATTTGCAGATATTGCTTGGGGCTAACTTTTTCTCATAAAACTTTATTAGAAAAAATGTCACATTAAAATGCTCCCTGTCGCGTCAAAGGTCATCAATTTTTCGACTTTCTCATTTTTAAACTATTTTTAAAAAATCTTTTGGCAGTCGATTTGAAATTCCATCCCAATGAATCAGCTGTCTTCAGTTTTTCTGTAACGTTTAACGTTAACATCCAACGCTACTCTGATATCAAAATCTTACCGCCGAGAAACGTTCCTAACTTTAGCAGGCCTAATACACGCTGGTAATACTGCATCAATTACTACGCACTATCAATCTTAAAAGTATGGAAAGTTTACATCTCTACTGCGGTGGGTATCATCAGCCTTTCTTTTGCATGGCAAACCGAACTGATATAGACAAAATGCTATTCTCAATTCGTCATCCTGACGTACATAGTTGAAGGACTATTACACTTTTACGGACTACCTTCGTCTACAACACCACCCATTGGCTGCCTATATTTATTCATTCTTTCTCCGGCAATCCGGGAATTCCCCACTACTCAGTCAGCTACTGTGGACTTGCACAAGTTAATGCCTGATACTCGGTATAACTGAATTTGCATTGACTACAAACACTGCACATTTTCTTACTCAAAGAAAATTAGAGCTGTGCTCTAAGGATTTTTTTTAGAAATATCTATTAATTGTTAGAAGCAAAAGACCACGATCAAACCCAAATCAGTCCTAATGGTGAAAAGCCTGTCAAATTGTTAGCCAACAATTTCTAGTTTAGAATTTATTTTATTTCTAAGTTCTACCAAAAGTGAGATGTTATGCTTCTTTTTTTCCAGATTATTTTCATCTAATCCTATTCCATTGATATGATGAACTACACTAACCAAGGAGTTGGTTACCTAGATGGATATGCTGGAGGCTTTCATCCGCAAGGGGTGATGTCACAGATGAGTATGCTGACCCGTGCATCAGCACCTTCATATGGGCAGTCTGGCCTTGGAGTAAGTTGAAGAGTGTATCATATGTAGCAGGTTAATGAAAAAAAATCTTTAAAAAGTGAACCTGCTACCTGCTAGAACGGCCTATCTGTGTGTTAAGAATGATAAAAAAAAACCTGAGCAAGTTACATCACTAGACAAATGTGCATACTTGGAGACTTTTGCTCGAAATTAAAATGGGTGTCGTTGCCAATAGCAGGCAACATGATGGAATTTTTGATACCATGATGCATATTGTTGATATGCTATGTGCAAGTGATGCTACACATGCCCAGAGTGGGCTGTTATTAAAACGTTTGGGAAAAGATCTGTGAAATGATGATTGAACAGTAATTGCATGGTTATATGTAAGTGTTTGAAAAACAATATGTCAATGATTTATTTAAAATACACATTTATAGAAAATAGGAAGTTTGAAATAAATACATTAGATTATAAAGAAGATCGATATCTCTTTAAATTGTAAATCATGGATGATCTGGATCAGAGTCTTTGTTTTTTTTCAGGAAGTGTTTTGTTACGACAATATACATATACAATCAGAATTCTGCTGTGATCATTGTATTACAGGGAGGATCTGCGCCTCCATCAGGACCAGGGTATGGAGGAGCTCCTGGTTATGGTGCCCTCCCTGCAATATACACTGCAGTGAAAATATATGACATGTCATATATCTTCACATGGGAAGATATCACTTTTATTATTGTTCAATCAGAACAGCTCTTTCTATTCACAACATAAGTTTTTAGTTTCAAATTCAGATTAAGCATCGGCTGAATAAGTGGTTGTTGTGGTACACCTTTGCAATATACAGCGCGGTACTTACATAGTTGCACAATCGATATCATGTTTATTCGGATAATTTGAGCAGGTAATAGCAGCAAACAGCAGAATTGCATTGAACAACCCATTCATTAAATGGCACTCTGCCTTGTTGTCAAGCATGATGTCATTAGAACTTGTCTACTGAATCTGAATATGATACCTGTCAATCAAACTGACATGGTAAAATTGTGTGGCTCTTTCTCGGTTTTGCTGTCAGATATAGGCCTTAAAATTCCCAGCAATGAAAATAGTGTAGAATTGATTTACCAACATCAATGATAGCATGAATTTAAAATCAGGGATTTTCTTTTATACATTTGAGAATATTTTCCACAAAATCAGAATGTTAACAGAAGTGCACCAGCCATAGACTGACAGTTACAAGCTACTGAATGATGTGTAGTTCTATCATTAAGATCAGATCATATAACCTTGAATATCCTTTTTACGTTTTAAGTTTAATATGTACATTGTTTGTGTACAAAATTAAACTTTGATATATTATGCTGGTGCTTTCAATCAAAGTTTCATTTAAATTATATAATAATAATAATATTATATAACATTTATATAGCGCCCTATATAATTTTTAAAATTACTCTAAGGCGCTTTACAACATATAGATAATAGTATAATTGTGAAAACAAACAACAAAGGCTTGCAATCACTTTCATACATTTAACAAGCAATGTGCACATAATTGAACAAATAAAAGGGTGGTATTTACATGACGTCTTTGCAAAGATTCTAAAATGCAGACGTGAAGAGGTGAGTTTTTATGTCCCTCTTGAACTTGACCAGGGTATTCGACTTCCTAATAGCAGATGGTAAGCTATTTCACAACGTAGCCAAAACCCTATCAAAGCATCTGTTTCCGTAGGTCACAGTACGAGATGTTGGGACACACAACAAAGATTCTGACTCCGACCGCAGTGATCTCGACGGCTGATACAGGGTAACAAGCTCCTGTATGTACCGAGGAGCTGTTCCATTCAGTGCCTTGTATGTGTATACCAGAATTTTGTACTGCGACCTGTATCGTACAGGTAACAAGTGCAACGAATAAAGCGCAGGTGTGATGTGCTCTCTCTTTCGAGTACGAGTAACTAGCCGTGCTGCAGTGTTCTGGACCCTCTGCAGACGACTAGTTAGTTTGTCAGATATACCACAGAGCAGGGCGTTACCATAATCCAACCGAGAGGTAACAAGTGAATGCACCAAAATCTTGCATGCATCTGCAGTTAGAAACTGCCGAATACAGCCGATGTTCCTGATCTGGTAGTAACAGGATTTGGCAATAGCGTTCACTTGTTTCTCCATGTTCAGAGAACTGTCAAAGTATACCCCTAGGTTTTTAACAGCTGGAACAGTCTCAATAGTTCTGGCACCAACCTTGAGCTGGAGAGCCATTGTTTGCTGACACTTTGGGGAAAAGACGATTAGTTCCGTCTTTTCCTGATTAAGTTTAAGCATGTTGGCGTTCATCCAGATACTGATATCTGTCAGACAAGCTTCCAGACTTTCTGAGACTGTATTCCACCTGTTCTGTGGTTTTATGACCATGTAAATTTGTGAGTCATCGGCATAGCAATGATAGCGAAGGCTATGGCGACGACAAATCGCTCCAGTCGGTTTGGAGTACATACAATATTTTCGTGGTCCTAACACCGACCCTTGAGGAACCCCGAAATCTAGTACTTTGTCAAATATATCTAGTATATGCCAAATATTATCATGATTCAGTCATATGACTTTGGGATAATCCCCATGTCATATGACTGAATCACCAGATTAGTCTGAAGCCCACTACTGATCACAGTAAGGGCTGAAAAAGACAACCAGGAGGTCACCCAAAGCTACCCCTACTAGTAGTATTTAGTTATTTTGAGGTCATTTGGCCAAATACAATATCATGAAAGGTCATGAATTGATCATGAGACTGCTGTTATTTTGGCTAATGGATGGCAATCTTAATGAATGTTTAGAATTCTTTTTTTGAGCAGCTAAAAGGCAGTCACTTAATATTTTTTGATCCCAATTTTTATCAAATTAGTTACATGATACAAACTTGACATGGTGATGAAGAAGACAGAAAACATCCTTCTATGAATATTATGGGAACAATTCCGATTATTTTCTAACTTAAATCCATGAGGATTGGTGCTCTTGAAGGTGATGTCAAGGGGAAAGTTCCATACAAACTCTTGTCTGTCGTCTTTAAGTTTCCACCTATGAAGAGTATTGGTTACCAGCATATCTGGGTCTGGAGAAGAAGATTTTTAAAATTTAAGCCAATTTGACCACTTTTAGTCCCGCCCCTCAGGCCCTGGGGGCGGGCCCGGGGCCAAACTGCCAAAGTATCAAACCGTCGATTCATAATGTCTGTCAAGTTTGAATAACTTGGTAAATATGTATGTAACTTAATGGCGCCCATACAAGCATAGACATCGAAAACTTGTATTCTTAATTGTTTTAGTTATTTTTGACCTAAATATAAATATTTTTTAAATGAAGTGTCAGCTAGTGCAAACAAGATTCCCGGAACAGCCTAAGTCACCAAAATGTGTGTTCCTAAGGGTTATCTCCTGTTATAACTTATTTGAAGCGGGAGGATATACGAAACTTCAAAACGATGCTGATCAAATTGCGTTCATAGAGCAATAAACTCAATTTCTTCTGGTTATGCTTATAGAAGAATTTGTGAATATAACAGGTTGGTGGGCTAATGTTGTTTATACAGAATGTGTACATATATACATTAGACACATATTTAGAGGAAAGCTCTGGGTTGGGCCTATCGGAGGATTTGGCACAAGGAGTGGTGTTCATGCTCGAAATGAGGGTTGACATAGATAAATACTTACGGGACACGGGATTATATGTTATGTAACATACATCTTAGGTAATTAAACACAATGATTGGTTAATCTTCGTCCGCCAAGGGTCAACACTCCGGCACAATAAGGTGATGTTGTTTTATATCTGAATGAATTTTTCCTTATTTCTGGAGCAAATAACTAGTCCAATTTGTAGTGTTTCTATAAATATCATTATTTCATTCTGAAATCAGTATTATCTCATTCTGAATCAGTAAATATCACAGATCAACACAAGTAACGATCTTTTTAGGCTTTGCCTTTTCATATTATTATATGTGTACAGGTATTGATAGACGAGGCTGAAGATCGTTCGCTTGGGCACATATGCCGGTAGCTGCGATAACGTAGCTTTCTAACGAGAGATTTTTTTTTATATAATGCGTCGTACGGGGCAGAGGAGACCGGGTATTAATCAGGTTGGGCATAACAGCTAATATAGGTAATAATCCTGCACTTGGGTAACAGTTACCTATTTGAGTAACAATTCTATTACTGAAATGGGAAATAAAGTGAAATAAAAACACACAAAGTGCTTTTAAACACTTGGAGCAAAAACGGGCGTTATTCTTTCAACTAAATTAAATAAATAACACAATAAAGTACATTTGTGCACAAAAAATTATCAATTCTGATGTCTAACTTTTTGTGTTTTTATTTCACTTTATTACCCATTTCAGAAATAAAATTATTACTGAAATGGGTAACTGTTACCCAAATGCAGGATTATTACCCATATGCGCCGTTGTACCTGTTGATATTAGTAGTACTACATAATACGGCACGTCTAATTATATAAATACCCAATACTACCCCATACTACCCAATACTACCCCATACTAACCAATATTATCCCATACTACCCAATACTACCCCATACTACCCAATACTACCCCATACTACCCAATACTACCCCATACTAACCAATATTATCCCATACTACCCAATACTACCCCATACTACCCAATACTACCCCATACTACCCAATATTATCCCATACTACCCAATACTACCCCATACTACCCAATACTACACCATACTAACCAATATTATCCCATACTACCCAATACTACCCCATACTTCCCCATACTACCCAATACTACCCCATACTACCCCATACTACCCAATACTACCCAAATACTACTAATATTATCCCATACTAGCCAATACTACCCCATACTACCAATATATAACCCATACCAACCAATATTATCCCATACTACCCAATACTACCCCATACTACCAAATACTACACCATACTAACCAATATTATCCCATACTACCCAAGACTACCCCATACTACCCAATACTACCCCATACTACCAAATACTACACCATACTAACCAATATTATCCCATACTACCCAATACTCCCCCATACTACCCAATACTCCCCCATACTACCTAATACTACCCAATACTACCCCATACTAACCAATATTATCCAATACTACCCAATACTACCCAATACTACCCAATACTACCCCATACTACCCAAATAACCCATACTAACCAATATTATCCCATACTACCCAATACTACCCCATACTACCCAATACTACCCCATACTAACCAATATTATCCCATACTACCCAATACTACCCCATACTACCCAATACTACCCCATACTACCCAATACTACCCCATACTACCCAATACTACCCCATACTACCCAATATTACCCCATGCCACCCTGTTCTGTACCTATAATACTACATTAATAATGTGAAATATCACCTTTACAGGAGTTATTTACTTCTATCTGCCATATTTTATTGGAAACTATGCGATTTGGTACAGAAAACATCACCGAAATACCGCGACTATGACCCAATACTACCTAATTCTTCTAAATTTGACCTTATAGTAACTAAATACTGCCAAATATGACTCAGTACTACCCAGTGCAGATATCATATTAATTAATTATCTTCAGTTTACATTTATTTACCGTATTGCACCAGCTAGTTGTTGTTTTGAGTTCGTCAGTTCGACCGACAGCGTTTCAGTAAATGTTCCCGAGTTATTCCCCGTTAAACAGTAACTTTGCCGCTCCCAATACTACTCCAACGATGTGAAATATCACCTAAAACAGATGTAATTTTCTTTTTATCTGCCGTATTTCCTTAGAGAATGTGAAATTTGATGTAGATTGATTGACCAATTTTCTGGGTAATTTTCTTTCTATCAGCCGTATTTTCTAAACAAAAGTATGCCAATTAATGCAGAATACCTGACCTACCCAATAGTCTGCTATCTAATTGCAATATTACGACCCAATGTTATACCCAATACTACTTTGATTCTGTGAAACATCATCTAAAAGAAGTTATTTACTTCTGTCTGTCGTATTTCCTCACAGAATATGCACTCTAATGCTGAATACTTTAAATCACGGAATTAGAAAATGCTATCTAAGTCTGTGTTTAAACTAAATATATATAGGTCTTTGATTATTAATCATATGACGAATACATGATTTGAAAGACATGTAAAACAGCGTTTTTTTTATCAAGCCTGACAATATACTTACGACATAGTAACCTCATCAAAAGTAATTTTACCGCTAGACAAATTGAAGATTAGTACCATTTTATTCTTGAACGTAACATATGTATCACCATGGAAATAGATATACGATCAGAAAAAACGTGTTATTATTTGTTGCAGAAATGTCTGTATTTATAATTCAGGCTATCTTGGGTTCGCGAATATGGTAAATTTGAAGAAAAAAAACCATTTTGTTTTGAAGAAGTACTGGATCACGTATCTGTTTTACTGACAATGACCTGTTGGAAATGAACACTTCTGTTTTCAAAACTGATGAATAGTAAACAGAACCCTTTCGGTTTATTATCCTACACATGTTTCTCTTTTGAGAAAAGATAACAAAATATTTGCAATGCAAAGTTCATTTTCCACTTTTACTGTATATGTATTGGCACATGATAAGTGAGAATCAACGCTAAGTGCTTCAAAGTGACTTTTACTGATTTACGTGAGAAATTTTTAAAAAAGTACTATTGTAAAAAACCGAGCATGTTTAAATTAATTCAGTTATTTAACGGACAAAACACAAATGAATTAGCAAAATTGGCCAAATACATTAAAGCTGCAAATTCAAGAAGAGCTTTATTAACATAAGTAGTTATGCTCTCCGAGTGTTTTGTCTCGTCTGTGTATTTATTAGTATTTTCGATATTTGTCAATGTTATGAGAAAGTATATATATATATATATATATATATCATGTATATGTGTTACACTGATGAGTCGCAAGACTCAAAGTTAATAAAGAACTTGAACTTGAACTGAAAATTGAAATTGTAATATTTCATCAGAGACGTATATAATACACTTTATATGTCTCTGATTTCATTGGAAAAAACACATCGTTTTTCGTTCTCTTTTTTTCCCCCGCGCACATATTAATACATTATCTAAGGGTATAAACGAACTCTGGAAAAAAGCACCTAGAAGTTTAGACAGATATCATGAAGACGTCATGGTTAGAAAGCAATCTGTTCTACACACAGAAATGCCATTGGATCAAGTATCTGCTTTGCACTATTAAACAAGAGGCCCAATGGGCCTGAATCGCTCACCTGGTATCAATCTTACACTTGCAATCTTAAAAGTGGACTAAAATACAGCTACAGGCAAAATATCAGTGTTTGATTAATCATGTGACACATGTGAACTTGAAAGTAAAGCAAGGACTTTAAGTTGAACAGACTTTAAAGCCTTTCATACCAGCATGCGTCTGGCCAAATATCGTTGCCCTTGACCTTTAGATTATTCAGAAGTTGTGTAAAGATTTCAACATATTTGACCCCTCTGACCTTGTAAATGGGTGAAGGTCATTCATTTGAACCAACTTGGTAACCCTTCATCCTAGCATGTAACTGACCAATTATCATAACCCTGGTTCTTTTGGTTATATAGAAGTCGTTTACAGTTTTCAACATATTTTACCCCTGTGAACTTGAGTATAATTCAAGGTCATTCATTTGAACAAACTTGGTAGCCATTCATCCAAGCATGTTACTGGCCAAATATATACACCCTAGGCATCTTGGTTATTCAGAAGAAGTTGTTAAAAGGTTTTAAACATATTTAACCCATGTGATCTTGAAACTCGACAAAGGTCATTCATTTGGACAAACTCGGTAGTCCTTTATTCCAGCATGCTACTGCCCAAATATCATCCCAGGCCTTTTAGACGGACGGACGGGACTACAAATGGTGGCCCGTTTGAGAACTGTCCAATCTCGAACGAAAAAGAGTAGGTGCGTAAACGCCGATACAGAGGATAGTGTAAGCTTTATTCCAAATTTTCGGCCGTTAGAACTAGGGTCTCTTTATTAAGACATTAAGAAGGACTTCAAAATTATATATACAAGTCAAATTCTTAGAATAGTTAGGAGCCGGTGTTAATGTTGGCGGCTTTCTACCTCACTTCCTGTCCAGACTTGGTGCTGCTATACGACCAGTGTTAGGATAAGCAACATTAGGCCTAGGAGCCGTCTTACAAAAACTAGACTTATACAGTAAATACATAAATGTCAGACGGCTCCTTCTCTCCTCTGTCTCCCTCTTCTATCCCTTCACTCCATACTTTATCCCTTCTACTCATTTTCCCGCCTTTTCTTCGTCTGCTGGATAACTGAACTACTCGGCAGTGAAACGGACGTAAAACCTATCAATCAATCAATCAATCATTCAATCAATGTCCTTGTTTGATTTTTAAGGTCAAATGTGTCACATGTTTAAATCTTTTTATAAATTCTTTCGAATCAAACACTGGTATTTTGCCTGTAGCTGTATGTAAGTACACTTTTAAGATTGCAAGTATAAGATTAATACCAGGTGAGTGATTCAGGCCCATTAGGCCTCTTGTTACCTGTCATTTAAGGACCCAAACATTAATTTTAGAATGTGTTATAAGTTATTGTTGATTTTGAGACAACAGCAGAGAGGGCATGGAAAGAGTATGTACAGTTTTTGATATGTTTTCAGAAATTAATGTTTGGAAATCGTTTTCAAAAAAATGCTCCTATTTTTGGTATCAGTAAATAATGAAAGGAAAGAGAAGCATCTCCTGTGTCCAGGACTTTGTATTGATATTTGTGCGAGTGGAAGCTTAAAGTATCAATACAGTTATGGAAACCTGGAGTCAGTAGTTGCTTCTATTCTTTTGTTATTGGCCATGCTTAACCTTAACCCTTTCACCCCTATGTAACTTTAGTAAACTCTGCCATACATTGATCTGGAATAGTCCATTATGGTCCACAGTGGTGAAAAGGATAAGAGAGCTTCTGTATACTACTCGGTATCCTATAATTGCAAGATTCATCGGGTCACTGCTTTGTAAAAACGATGTTCTTACCCAGACAGTTTCCTCGACATTCTGCCAGCTTGGTCACTGGAGACACTGGATATACTGCTGAAATCTAGAATATGATTGTTAGCATTACTTGACTCTTATTGGACCCTTCTTCTTTACCCCTGCATTATGTTTCTTTTAATGAGTATAACAAAACTGTTTAGGTAACAGATGCCGGACTTGAGGCAGATTTCTGCGGACTCCTGGCTCCCATTTTCCAGAGGGCTAACCTAAAAGAGTTCAAAATGGCTCTGGCACAATCTCTCCAAAGGTATTGGTTGACAATTTCTTTCTTTAGTTCAGTGATTTACTGGTCAAATAGTGCTGAAGACTGAAGATTCAGGAACCACCTACACAGATATTTGTGTTTATAAGGAGAGATTGTAGAAAATTTACATCAATTTTTGAAAATATTTAGGATTCAGTTACAAGAAATGATTCTTCTTGTTTGATAATTTGATATGTAAAATGACAACATTAGAATTTGCTGTTAAACCTTCAATGTCTGTTTTGAAATCAAGTAATTTGAAATAATTAAAATGATGCATATAAATTTGTTATCATTGGTGGTATTGCTTTATAAGCAAATATCATTTGAAGTTGTCCTGCTGATATTGAAATCTTAAAAAATGTCATAAATATGTAGTTGAAGGTAAAAGTAAATCTTGAGAGAAATAATTAGAGTTCTCAATGACCGGATGTTTGAAATGTATTTTAAGATTCAGTGTGGTAGAAAAAAAAATAATTACAGTGTCTTTACAAAGTCAAGTATTGGGAGGATTGTATAGCCTATTCGTTGTACTACTAATATAAACGTTTTGTATAATAATTCTTTTGTAGATTCGAGAGAAGCATGCAGTCTCACAATTCACTGGCAATGACTTCTACTGTGTGTAGTTTGACTTACAGTACTAATAAACAGGTATAATCTTAATGTCAAAAAAGTCGTCCTTAATGTTTTGATAGATTTCGTATTAAATTTGAAATGTAGTTTTTTTCAAATATTTTATTCCCCCAGCCATTTTTTTCATAAATATGTATATACATATAATGCTTCGAAGCAGATATATATATACATTATACATATTTTGATAGGGGATGCCAGGGTTGGGGAGCCCTGGAGTCCGCCCCTATATCAGTCAAACAATAAATAAATAAATAGGAAGGGCAATGGGAAAATAACATATTTGCAAATAGAGTACAGGACAAGAACACCAAACATACTTCTTTCACACCCTAACAAATTCCATTTACAACATAATATTACAAACAAGGATAAACAAAGCACGTCTAGTATACACAAAAAACATAATACACATACAAATACATCCACAGATATACTCATACACACATACATATGAGACAGACAGACAGAGACAGATACACAGACAGACAGACACCTACCCCGGCAGACACACATACACACATACAGACAGACAGACAGACAGTACATACATACATGTATACATTGAGACAGACTGACATACATTGAATCATATGAATCATTATGCACGCATAATTTCAAGCAGTTAAGAAACAAAAAAAAAATACACTGTGCAAACAGTGTCAGATGTACATATATATATATACACATGTGTATGAATATTTCTATGACACATGCATGTGGGCATTCACATTTTCAGATTCAAATTTTAAATGTTAATGTCTGCATAGGAAATACATTTTCTTATCTCTATAGATATTTACTGCACTAGACAGTCTCTGTTCTACCAGCTAAAAGGTAAACTGAAAATACCGGGTATGTGTGGTAACAAATTTGTTGTAATGTATCACGAATTTGTTTTAATGTATCAACTTTAACATTTTGAGAAAAGTTGTTTTTCTTTCTGGAATTAATAGGTATGTTTATTGCTCTTACTGCAGAACAAGTTTAAAGGGGGTTATCTCCCTAAGATGATTTTTTAAAGGACAATAGTTTCATTGATCAGTTGATACATGTGTCACCTATGTCTTTCTGTATCACAGTCTGGGCAGATATTCCCCCCAGGTATCCGTGTGGACCCACTTGCGGCTTACTGTAATGATGTGCTGTCTACCTTTTATAAGCTTCATCCGTGTGCCCCCGTATCTCTAGCCTGTGATATTGGCGATGGTCGTCTGAACGTTCTTCTACAGAATAGCGGCATCCCATTGGCTTCTTACAGGTTTGTGTTGCACTTGATACTATATAGATGCATTTGTAATACCCACTTGGATTTTATTTTGTTATGTTCATGGTCACCAACGATAGCATGAAATTAAATCCAGGGCTCACCCTGGACCTAAAAAATCAGTAGCCAAAACAGTAGCCATGTTTGAATTTCAGTAGCCAATAATTATTATAATTTAATCTATTATGTGATATTTTTTTAATACTTTTAGATTATATGGCTGTAATTTTAAGAAAACATGACTTAAATTAAAATGCTGAAAATTTCCCCCAGAACTTCTTTTTTTTTTTTTTTTTCAAAAGAAATAATACCAAGTGTGGCTCTGGAAAAATTCTATCCGCTTCCTATCGACTCGTCTAGGGAGAATTTCTCTTTAGCTCATTCGGTAGAGCGTAATACTAGTAAATTAGAGGTCCCAGGTTCGACTGCTAGCAGAGGCATTGGAAAAATAATGACCTCTGTCAAGTAAGTATTGTTACAATGGATTATTGTATATGTTTAAATCCACAGGCAAAATAAGTACCTGTTTACTGATGAATAATGAAGATGAAACGACAATTAAAAAATCGCATTTTACTTTATTTTCACAAAACAAGAGGTCCATGGGCCTGCATCGCTCACCTGGTATTAATTTCACACTTATAATCTTAAAAGTGGACTAAATACAGCTACAGGCAGAATATCAGTGTTTGATTCATAAGAACCTATGAAAAGATTTAAACATATGACGCCTGTGACATTGAATGTCGAACAAAGACATTAGGTTGAACAGAGTTTTAAGTCTTCCAACCCAGCATGCTTCTCATTACCCTGTACCTTTTGGTTATACAGAACAAATCATTTAAAGATTTAAACATATATTGACCACTGTGGACTTGAATATGGGCGAAGGTCATTCACTTGGTAGTCCTTTATCCCAGCATGTTAATAGCCAAATATCATCACCCTTGGCCTTTTACTTATTAAGAAGTCGTTTAAAAGTTTTTAACATATTTGACCCCTGTGACCTAGAATATATGTCAAGAATATCAGTACCCTGGGGCTCTTGGTTATTGAGAAGAAGTCGTTTGGAGATTTTACGACATTTGACGCATGTGACCTTGAAAGTGGGTCAAGGTCATTCATTTTAACAAACTTGGTACATTGTAGCCCTTCATCCCAGCATGATACAGGCAAAATATCAGTACCCTGGGCCTTTCGGTAATTGAGAAGAAGCTTTTTGAAGATTTTACGACCTGTGACCTTGAAAGTTGGGCAAGGTCATTTATTTGAACAAACTTGGTAGCCCTTCATCTCAGCATGCTACAGGCCTAATATCAGTACCCTGGGCTTTTTGGTTATGGAGAAGCAGTCTTGTGAAGAGTTTACGACATTTGACCCATGTGACCTTGAAAGTTGGTCAAGGTCATTTATTTGAACAAACTTGGTAGCCCTTCATCCCAGCATGCTACAGGCCCAATATCAGTAACCTGGATCTTTTGGTTATTGAGAAGAAGTCGTTTGAAGATTTCACGACATTTGACCACTGTAACCTTGAAAGTTGGTCAAGGTAATTCATTTGAACAAAATTGGTAGCCCTTCATCCCAGCATGTTACTGGCCAAATAACATCACCTGAGGCATTTTGGTTATTGAGAAGACGGACGACGGACGGACGACGAACGCCGCACCACGGCATAAGCTCACTTGACCCTTCGGGTCAGATGGGCTAAAAACTTGTAAAATAAATCTCATCGCCCAGATACAAAAGTAGCATAGTGAGGGCGATATTTTTACCTGCTATGTTGTACGAAATTTTATCTCTGCAAAATAGTTCTGACTGGGACAACAGTGAAATATTAGCCCTGCAAAAATAAACAACTATACTGTACATACCTGCCAACTCTGAGGGTGGCTCCATAAAACTTAGTATTTTCAACCAGTGAATTTGCTAAACTTTTCCAATTTTCTAAGATCTAATAACTTCATCTAAAAGAACAAAACAACATATATCATTTTAAAGGGTTATTTTGACTAGGGGGTATATACACACATTTTATTTAGGTCTGAATTTTGAGCATGCGGAATCTTCCCCATGGAAATTTTAAAAAAGTTGGTAAGTATGACTGTAACCTGACAAAATTTCCTGGATCTACAGGGAAACCATATTTGTGACTTGCTAGATGTGGGTTTGGTTCCAGATAACAAACTCCAAAATAATGATTCATAATAAAGATCTGTTTATTTCAAATGATGCTATAATTGAGTAAGTGTAAATACTTGTCTTTACAGGGCAGAGGAGGCGACCTTTCAGTTCTGTCAGGTATATGCCACTAATCTGCTGCGCTACCTAAACAAATGTCTGCAGCTATTAATCCCCCCTGCTACACTGGCTCAGATTCTCTGTGTGACCCTGACAGACCTTGATAAGATGGTAAGTTTTACAAGTAACTCGGGCCTCTCTTGCATATACCGTTAGTTTGTTCCAACTGTCTAAACCTGAAAATAAACAAGAGGCATACATCGAAACTGAAGCTGATCTTCAGCAATTTTGTCATGTGCATATCGAGGGGTCTAGATATGTCTGGCCAAAGTTAGACATATGTTATAAAATGTAATACACGGTTGAAAGAAGCTTGTATAATTCTAAATTTAATGTTGTTTATTTGTCACAAAACTTCAAAACTCTCAATTTTGAGCTCTGCTTATTAAGCAGTACTTTTCCCTCTGGTTTAAATGTATTTTAGTGCCACATGTACTGTTTCTACTAGGATTAGAAAATAATGTTTATTGGAGTTATTTCCCCTGATCTCATGGGTTTCACACACCGGGATTGGGGTGGGGGAATTCTTCTTTATGTAAAATAACTGCCTTTTCTGCTTTTTAGCTCACCTGGCCCGGAGGGCCAAGTAAGCTTATGCCATGATGTAGCGTCCGTCGTCCGTCCGTCTGTCGTCAATTGTTTTTCATTATACAACTTCTTCTCAATAACCAAGAGACCCAGGCTGATGATATTTTGCAAGTAGCATGCTGGGATGAAGGGCTATTAACTCTTTGGGCCAGGTGAGCTAAAAAAAACAACGATACCTCTTTATAATTATCAAAGAAGCCAATAATGACAGTGCAGTGGTAGTAATGAATAGAGATTTTCATTGTGAATATATAGATGTAAAGGTAAGTATACAGTTCTAGGTCATATTTTAGGACTGGGTCATTTTTGATAGTATTGGGTCATACTTTTATTTGGCAGTATTGGGATTATTTGATTTTATCTTGCAGTTATCAATTATCTGCATCGAATCGCATATATTCCGAGAAAAAACGACAGACAAAAAGTAAAGTACTTCTGTTTAGGTGATATTTCACACTATCAAAATATTTTTTGGTGCATAACTGGGTCGTTTTGGGTAGTATTGGATAGTATTGGGTCGGTATCAGAGACGGTATTTAATCCATTTATATTCGCCTCCGGTAGTATTTGGTTCTAGCACGGACTTGTTTCTAGTCTATGGTGGTCAATTATTCTACATCAGATTGCATATTCTCTGAGGAAATACGGCAGATAGAAAGTGAACTACATTTGTTTATGTGCTAGTTCACATCGTCGAAGTAGTATTGGGAGCGTCAAAGTTACTGTATAAAGGGGAATATGATATCTGCACTGGTTAGTACTGTGTCATATTTGGCAGTATTTGGTTACTATTATGTCAAATTTAGAAGAATTAGGTAGTATTGGGTCATTGTCGCAGTATTTCGGTGAAATTTTCTGCACAAAATCGCATATTTTCCGATAAAATATGGCAGATAGAAGTAAATAACTTCTACAAAGGTAATATTTCACAGTATTAAAGTAGTATTGGGTACATAACTGGGTCCTATGGGGTATTATCATTTACTTGCTTGAAATATCGGCCTGATTGCATTATGTGATACTGTATCATTTCAAGTGTCGATATTGCCCGCCGGTGTGATAACCTATCGATATCAGCCCGCATCCGGTGATATCAGCCGGACATATCAGCCCGCATCCGGGTCTTCAACACAGTCCGGTCCGGTGACCGCTTCAAATGTTAGAGGTTTTTTGTTGTTGTCGTCTGCACCTCTCGTCTACGGAATCTTATAATTATTGTTGTGTATTTGTCACACAAAAGGTCCATGGGCATCAAACACAACCTCACACAGTAAACGCCATTACCGGAACTACCTTTATTGCTTGAACGTATTACTACGCATGTACACAATATGGAGGGACCCGGAATTGGACCTAAATCCGGAATATACAACACTCCTCCCTTTTTAACTTTAACTCTTATTAGCTAATATATATGAACATTTAATATTAAATGAATGGCTGGATGTTATTAGTAGAACATTAACTCGGTGTAACTCTATTCAAACAAGAACACACACAAATTCAAAATAATGCTTCCTGATACACAATGTCTTGAATTGGGTATAAAAATAAAAAGTGTTGACATGTATAGTTTCATTGCATGTCCGACTAGAAACACACTAAGTAGTTATACGACACTCTACAAATCTCTACAAATCCATTCGCTCTGGGGTCTCCTTAGACCTCTTAGAGCGTCTCAACATGGGTGTCCCTCCTGGTGTGACCTTGGACAGGGTAATACCAGTGTCCAACTGAACCTGACTCGCGCTTGTGTCCATTGGCACGGACACCACTGATTCGTAAATGTCTGTTTCCACCACCTGTGGTCCATCGTCACCAAACAGCGAAGGACTGCGTAGCGATGGAGAACACGAACCAAGTATCTGGTCCGCGTGACGACGCCAACACTGCCCTGGTGCCACTTGCACCTGATAGGACAAGGGTCCAGATTGCGACGCGATTACACCGGGCGTCCATTTATGATTTCCGCGATAGTCACGCACTGAAACTGGGTTCCCAACATCGAATTCGCGCACTCTCTGTTTGGAAACGCTCTCCAACAGACCCTGAAAAAAAAAATCGCTACTGACATAGACTTGCTCAAGTTCGGCTTTATAAGAACCAAACGCGTTTTGATAGTGCGTCCCATGAGTAGACTTGTTGGTGTTTCAGAAGTAGCAGATTGGGGTGTGTTTCTGTATGCCAGTAAAAAACTTTGAGAGTTTTTTTTTGCATGGTACCACTGTCATACTCCGCAGCTTTCATAGCCTGCTTGAATGTCTGTACAAACCTCTCTCTGCCAACTCATTCGTTCGCGGATGGTACGGTGCCGATGTCGTGTGACGGATACCGTTCATTTCCATGAAAACTGCGAACTCCGCTGACGTAAATTGAGGGCCATTGTCGCTCATCAGTTGCTCAGGAATACCGTTGCTCGCGAACACGGATCGGAGTACCTCAATAGTATGCGCGGACGTTGTTGACTTCATCGCGATTACCTCGGGCAATTTCGAGTGAGCGTCCACCATGATAAGGAACATGCTCCCCAGGAATGGTCCCGCAAAGTCAATGTGGACTCTCTGCCACGGCTGAGTAGGGAACTCCCACGGATGAACTGGGGCTTCCCTCGGCGCGTTTCTATTCTCTTGGCATCCCGTGCACGACTTTGATAGATTCTCAATATCGGCATCTATCCCTGGCCACAATACGTAGGAACGGGCCAATGACTTCATTTTGACAACTCCAAGATGATTCTCGTGGATCACTATAAGAACCTCGTCACGGAGGCTGCTGGGAATGATTACACGTATACCCCACAGCAAACACCCTTGCTGCACGGTCACCTCATTCCTTCTCTCATAAAAGGCGTGTAGCTCTTTATCTACCGCGTCACTCCAGCCTCGCATAGCCGCATCATACACTCGTGACAACATTGCATCCTTTACGGTCTGTTTCCTTAGCCTGTTAGCGGTCACAGGCAGCTGTTTCATCTGTGACACCTGGTATACATGCGTGTCATCCAATATGTCCTCCTCTTCTGGCTGGACCTTCGGATCAAGCGTCGTCCTCGACAGACCATCCGCGTTTCCATGTAGTTTTGTGTTACGATACTCAATGGAATAATCGTGTCCCGCGAGGAACATGGCGTACCGTTGCAGTCGGGCTGCCGTAGTCACCGACGTACCCTTCTGAGGGTTGAATATTGACACCAACGGTTGGTGATCGGTCACCAAGGTGAAATTTCTACCATAGAGATATGGGTGGAACCGTTTGATCCCCCATATGATACATACCTACTGCCTCCTTGTCGATGTGAGCATATTGCTTCTCAGCTGCGTTCAAGGAGCGCGACGCGAACGCTATCGGTTTTTCATCACCGGACGGTAGCTTATGAGACAAAACCGCTTCGAGCCCGAAAGGCGAGGCGTCACAGGAAAGTTTCACGGGAAGGTTCGGGTCGTAATGTGTCAGTACCCTATCTGACACCATCATCTGTTTCACTTTGTCAAACGCCACTTGGCAGTCCTGTGTCCTTGACCATTTTGTGTCCTTCTCCAGAAGCTGATGTAACGGCCTCAACACTGTGGATAAATTCGGGAGGAATTTACCGTAATAGTTGACTAAACCCAGAAACGCACGAAGCTGGGTGACAGTTTCAGGTACCACGGCGTTGACTACCGCGTCAACTTTGTCTTGCGTTTTGTGAAGACCTTCCCAATCAATCACATGTCCACATAATTCAATCTTCTCTTTGAAGATGTTGCATTTGTCAATGTTTGCATGTAGTCCATATTTCTCCAGTCTACCCAGTACCTCGGCGAGGTTCCTCAGGTGTTCATTGTCAGTAACACCAGTGATTATCATATCGTCTATGATACATTGCACTCCTGGGATACCTTGTAAGACTTGCTCCATCGTCCGTTGCCAAATCGCTGGAGCGGAGGCAATACCGAACACGAGTCGGTTGTACCGGAAGAGCCCGCGATGTGTGTCATTGCTATGCTGATGACACACAAATGTACATGGTCATAAAACCACAGGACAGTTGGAATACAGTCTCAGAAAGTCTGGAAGCATGTCTGACAGATATCAGTATCTGGATGAACGCCAACATGCTTAAACTTAATCAGGAAAAGACGGAACTAATCGTCTTTTCCCCAAAGTGTCAGCAAACAATGGCTCTCCAGCTCAAGGTCGGTGCCAGAACTATTGAGACTGTTCCAGCTGTTAAAAACCTAGGGGTATACTTTGACAGTTCTCTGAACATGGAGAAACAAGTGAACGCTATTGCCAAATCCTGTTACTACCAGATCAGGAACATCNGGAATGATTACACGTATACCCCACAGCAAACACCCTTGCTGCACGGTCACCTCATTCCTTCTCTCATAATAGGCGTGTAGCTCTTTATCTACCGCGTCACTCCAGCCTCGCATAGCCGCGTCATACACTCGCGACAACATTGCATCCTTCACGGTCTCTTTCCTTAGCCTGTTAGCGGTCACAGGCAGCTGTTCCAACTGTGACACCTGGTATACATG